AACAGTATGTATTGGCTGAGATTCTGGTTCATTTCTTTTTCCAACCTGGTCACTGACGTACAATTGTTTTATCGTACAAAACGGTCGTATTGGAACCAACATTGGGCATATTCTAAATCGCATTTTTCTCATTGCTATTCCACTGATGGTGGTGGTGATGATCAAGTGTTAGTTACTGTTGCAAGCTTGCTTTGGACCCTAGTATCCTATATTCAAACCCCTCGACTGACCCAGATCGAGTAGTTGGCAGCTCCGCTGACAGTCGACCTAACCCATAGGGTCCCATGTTTTTCGCCTCTCCAAGTCCCGGTGCTTAGATTGCCGGTGCTCATTAGTGAATGGCATCTCCTCGTGACCATGGGGTCCACCGCGCCTGCTGTTCATCACACACANCACACACAGTGTGCGTCATAAAACAAGACACCAATGTGTTTAAGTCCCTCTTCGGGACACAAATATAGTATGCACTGTTGTCGAGTTCCAGCAAGGGTAAAACAGCTATCTGGTAGTCTTAATTCATCATCGCATATAGAACTTCATCGTATCAAATGAATGCACTGTTTTATCCGAATCATTTGTTTGAAATTTTGCGGTCAAATAGTAGTAAGTCCGCTTCCTCTAGTAACTCTTACTCTGGATTCCGATACGTCAACATTATGAACTCTAAATTGTCCTCAGAACGATTTTTCTTTTTTTCCAAATCCGCTCAACTTTGACAACCTGTTGCTCACTACTGTGGATTTTATTCCCAACAAACTTTTCTACTCACCCCACTTTTCAGCTGATTCGAATCGAGAATCCAGCAGCAAGCGATGGAAAAGCGTGGATTGAGTCTATGCTAAGGCGAGCAGATGTCATTATTCAGGCGTGAGTTTCTCTAATTCTTTTACTCCACTCCCTTCATATGTTCTCTTGAAAGCCTGTTTGACCTCTCGATCGGATGGCTCATGATTGGGCTCCTTCCAACTTCTTCATAGTCCTTTTCTCTTTCTCTGTGACTATCTCGAAGAGGGATCAGGTTTACAGAATGCTTTTGAGTACTTCGATTCAGTTTCAGTTTGTTCAACCGTTAGCCATACACTATCCTGCACCGGTTTTGGTTGCTCTCTTTTGACTGCCCATTTGGATAAACAGTAGGAGGGAGACGGGAAGGTGGAAAGTATAGTCGAACAGAAAATAGGGAATTTCAGTGGACTAAAGTTGCAAGGAGATTGAGAAGATGCACTAACACCACTGTTTACGACACTCAGCCGCACCACTCAGTATCTCTAACCATTGGTTAGGATCATCCCGAGGTCCCCAGCCAAGGAGCCTAGCGGAACCTATGTGACCCAGTCTCCTGATTAGGGTTTTCACACCCTCGTGCCAGGTCTTAGGTTAACCACCCTTGGCTTTATTCCACCGATTACCTGCCTCAGCGAACATCGCTGGCCGTGGTAACCTATTTGGTGACATGCGTAACGCATGCTCCAAACAACGTAATCTATTGAGATCGACCACTTGCTCCAGTGGGCCACCACGAATACCTAAAACTCTGCCCCTAACCTCAGTATTACTCGTCCGGTTGCCCCACCGGATTCGTGTAATGCTGCATAGACAGGGGCGTTCAAATACTAACAGTCTATCTTCATCCTGTTTTCTCAATGGTCAAGTTTCTGTACCTCAGAACTGGCCGAACTACCGCGGCATACACTCGACCCTTCAGAGACAGCCGGATGTCGCGACGGCGCCACAGATGTCTCAAGTTGGCAAATGCCAACCGAGCTTTTTGTATGCGCGCCGACAGTTCATCTGTGATGCGTCCGCCGGGTGAGATATAGCTGCCTGCGCGCGCCGACACTTCATCTGTGATGCGTCCGCCGGGTGAGATATAGCTGCCTAGATAGCACGCCGACACTTCATTCGTGATGCGTCCACCGGGTGAGATGTAGCTGCCCAAACAACAAAACGGCTGACACTTCATTCGTGATGCGTCCACCGGGTGAGATGTAGCTGCCTAAATAACAAAACTCATTCACTTGCTCTATTACTTCCCCAGTTAGAGTGAGGTTGGGTGTTTTAAGTAGTAGATACCCAGAGAAAGGATACCATGTGAGAATACCTCACGATAATTGTCTGGTACCGTAAAGCTTTGATTATCTTCAAATTCTCGCCATCTGCTGCAGACTGGCCACAAAGCTGNAAGCTGACCACGGGACTTCATTTCGGGTTGTTTACCCACCCCCTAATGGACGGTTGCTAAGGTTAACAGAGACCGTAGCATTCGAGCGCCGAAAACCCCTACGGTGTCAGCAGAAGTAGAGCTACATCAGTCTGGCATTTACCTGGTGACTACGTAAGCGGAAGAGTTAACTGGTAC